GCGACAAAACGATAGACAAAAAAGGCAAAGGGAAAATTAGGCGATCCTATTGGTGGAAGCGGATGGTCGCATGTCTCAATGGATAAAGGCTTCAAGTAATAAACTAGCTAACGAGAACTCAGAGACCCTGTATAGTTAGTCCATCATTTTCCCTTTTAGTCAATAACAAGGACCAGCTTCAACCAATAGAATTGCTCCAGTTTCCCATTATCTTCTTTGTCTATCACTTTGTCTATATCAACTTCAACAATCTGCCCGCAGAGACTTGAATTTTTAAAAAATATTGTTAACATAACTTGTGGAAAATGGACAGAGTTTCAAGGTGTTTAGCTGTTTTGTCCTCTTTAAAAAAAAACTAAAACACAAGTAGAAAATAGGCAATACGATATGTAGTTAGGTTTATTTTGGTTGAATTAGACCATTTATATCGATTCGATAGGAATAAATCTAATCTGACGTAGTGAGAAACGAGTGCTTTCGGCAAAAACTGGCAGTACTGTTCGGAGTGTATACTGCTGTGGCGCCTCTTTTCTTCCCCCTGGAGACTGGTCGAGCTGGGTTCGATTGCGGCATCTCTCTAATTAGGAACCGCGAACCTTTTCTCCTCGTGAAGAACTGGCGTCGTTTATTATTTTACGTGATTTGGCCGAGGTCCCACCGCTCGGCTGTTCCCACCTTTCGATTTTCGCGGCGATGGGATCATTACTCTAAAAAATGGTATCTCGATTCCATTCTAAGTTTACGAAAGGGCCGAAACGTGTAACTACACGGAGGGAAAAAGTTCGATTGATATTGAACACGAAGTTTTCGGTTCTGGTAGCCGAAATTGTTGATAAAAAAAACAAACTTTTGATCCGGCTAACCAAAATCAGTTCTAATGATCCAATAATTCGGTTCCTTAAACCAAAAAACTGCCGCGTTTGATATCTGAGCTATATTTTCTCAGCGTAATTAGTGAGTTTGTTGTAGACAGATGATGTGCAGCAAACTAAGTACACTTTCACGGGTATAATTGCAATAAAATCAGGGCAGCACATTACAAATACACATTTTATTTAAGGTGCATACTCCCCAAATCGAACATTCATAATCCGATGTGCTCAACGTCTTTCCTTTTTGTAAGTTTATTTGTAACATTGTCTATTTAGTTTGTTGTAACTCTTGTAAGCCAAAAAAGCCTTATGATTCTGATGCTTCTTTTTTCTAACTATTCGTTAAAGTCTTCAAAAGTTATAATGGCCATTCGTAACTCTCATAACATATGAAGCTGGACAATATTCCAACAAACCCAAACAAGTTTACTTTTGCTCCTATTTGCAAAAAAAAGCATTGTGATTCTAATGCTATGATTCTGTCCAACCATTCGTTGAAGTCTCCAAAAATTACAATGGTCATTTTCAACTCCTTCAAGTCGTGAAACGGAAAAATATTCTAAAATGGAAAACACAAGCTAGTTTGCTGCAACTGTTGTGTGCAAAGAAAGTATTATGATTCTAATTCTACTTTTTTCTAACCATTCGTTAAAGTCACCAAAAATTACATCAGTCATTCTCATCTCCTTCAAATCATGAAACAAAACAATACTCTATGATGGAAAACCAAAACTAACAGAGTCTAGAGGCTCATGAAAAAGGGGAAAAATCTAAAAATCTGACAAAATAATTTACACAATACAATTTTAGGAATCTGCAGGCCTGACATCACGAACTCAGAATAAATCAAAAGCTATCATTGCATGCTGGGTCTTGAGTTATTCAATATTCATCGCAAAAAAAAAACTATGAGGGACGATATCGGATGGACTCAACGGAACAAAAAGGATGACTCCATAGACGACCTTGAATTGTAATCGGGCGATAAACGCACTAACAACCTCCGAATGCTAATTAGATTGCTTTAGAGTAAACACCTCATAATTGCACGGGCATCGGATCCTATCAAACCATTCAGATCTGAAAACCATCGAGCCACCCGGCTCATCATCCGCCTCTGGATACACGTTGCCGTTTCTACCATAAAATACGGTTTTCCTGTATCGCAAGCTGAAGAATTCCGCGTTAAAATGGCAACTCTAGTTTAATATTCAGATCTGATCTGATCCTTCGCAAACTGTTTCCTCTTCGTAACGTGAGGGAAACACGTGAATGGTAATTGATTTTTTATTTGAGCCTTATTTTAATGCACTCATCACTCAGGACTTGGATGGAAAATTAATGGTTTCACATGTAGAGGGAGTAACCGTGCAGCGTTGCAATGTAGGCCAGCAATGACCCGGTTTTTCGTCGTGTTGGAGCTGATTTAACGGTAAACATGCAACGCTTTGGCTGGCGAATGTCTTTTTCAGTAGGTAACTCATATTGGTAATTGATTTATCTATGTTAGCGGGGTGACTGGCATATAAGCTTTTATGGTATCTTAACATGCTGTTACATCCACGTGGAAACAATTCTTTGACTTAGAGGTACTAGTTTATCACCTCAATATAGTTGCACTTCCGAAAACAATGTAAACTTCTACCGTAAAATTGTTATAGCTGGCAAACGACACAAAAAGGTTCAGTAATTTACCGTGAAAAAGCATTTGGCACAAGTTGAAGCCATGTTCAGGATTTATTAGGTGCGTCAATTGAAGTCATGTTCCCATTTTCCGATGACATTGTTCACGTCTGAGCAAGCGTTATAGACTCAATAAAAAGCATATTTGCTTCTCCTTCATTTTTTATTATCCAGGCACTGGTTGTATCAAAAGATATACCATCTCAAAAACGAAATTAGAGTCTGTGCTCAGCGCTACTGATCCGTTCAAAGCTCGATTTTTCCAAAATCGTCGGACGCGTTCTAAATTGACTAGATTTTGGGACAGCCACCCCACATGCTTTGTAAAACATTTTTATCTCAAATAAAATAGAATTGCATCCTCTAGTTGAGGAGCGACAAATTATCAATTTCAATGAACTTGAAGGGTTTTTTTAGATTTTTAGAACTTATCCTCTCCTCGCACACTAGATTGGCCCTTCCTACACACTAAGAAAAAGTAACCAATAGTTTGTGTTAATACGGGAGGTGGAACGAAAGTAACCCAAAGTCATCGGTTGATCCTGCAGTTATATGATTTTTCATTGTTTTCAGTGCAAAATTCAACAAAAACTCCATCAAATCAACACATTTGTGTTTTGATTTTTGCATTAACCGATGGTGACAAGAGAGTAAAAACATTAAAATATTTTTCTCAGTGTAGGAAACTTGCGTCCTCTTTTTTGCCTCGTCTTAAGGTTCTGTTTAGGCTACATTTCGTCGCTCCCCTGGGGAGCAAAATCTCTTTTGAGTGTCTCTTTGGGGAACTCAGTGATTTTGTTTAAATCGCTCTTCTGATGTTAGGGCGTATCTCAATTTCCGCATGAGCCTTTTGATCCGCATAACTATGTGCTTTCAGGGGCTCATGTGGAAGTAGAGATACACTGGAAAAAATACACGTTGGATCTATAGTCCAGATTCTTAAAAACATCGACAAGAAAAAGGACTCTTGATTCAATCAGAATCTAGCTTGAATCAAGAACCCAGCCTCTTAATCTAAGCGGATTTCCTTCTGATTTAAGCTTACATCTGATTGAATCAAGAGTCCTTTTTCTTGTCAATGTTTTCAAGAGTCTGGACTTTAGATCCAATGTGTTTTTTTTCTAGTGTACGCCCTTACATCAGAAGAGCTACGATTTGAACGAAATCTCCGAGTTCCCCAAAGAAAAGCCCAAATGAGATTTTGCCTCTGCCGAAATTTTATTAGTTTTTGAGGAGTCATCTTCTTAAAACTTCCAAATTTTATTTGTCTCAACAGCCGTGTCCATCAGAGTGCTCTGTCCGGTGGCCCCTTGGTACCGTTAGTATTAGTATCGTCTGCTAATTAGTTTTCGGGGCCGTTCGACTGTTCGCCGTTGTCCCCATTGAAACCGTTCTCAATGGAGTCGTCATAAAAGAGACTATCCTTGAGCAAGCTACGTCTCATCGATTCGGCCGTGTCTCTGTCTCCGCACGAAGCTCCACGCGGTCCGTTCTTCCCGAGTCCCACAGTTCGACATTGAGACGCAGAAAACGCGGAGGGGCCCGCGGCTGGAACTAGGACGCGGAACGAACTTGAACTTCCACCAAATCACGCGGCCTAAGTTTCGCGCGTGTCCGTGCGTGGAAACGGGACTGGGCGCCACCAAAAATCGTCAACGGCTAGACTCTCAAGTTTTATGAGAAAAGACAGTAACAGAGTTTGAGCCTTCACAGGACCGCAGAGTCACACGGAGAAAAATATTTCGGTTCATATTGATAATCGAACTTTTCTGGAACTTAGGTTTTAGGTTCAAGAAAACGAACTTCGGGTACTTATGGTCAAGAACTTCGATTACCTGAACCGCAAAAGTTTGGTGTTCAACATAAACCAAAGCTCCGTCCTTGGGATCAGTTAAAAATTGTGAAAATCGCATGATTTCCTCTTCCGCATTTTTTAATTTTTGCAGGGGAAAAGCATTTTAGCTCTTTTCAAGGGCCCATTTCAAAAGTAGTACTTCTGAATTTTAATCGAGGTTCGTAAAAATGGTCCTTTTTACAATGTTTTTTTAAGGCAAGGCGGATGAAGAATGGTGTTTGCATTTCGCACCCTCTAGACGTCACACGGTATCGGGTACATCGGGTGCATGGTCCGGCCGAGGGGGGCTCAACCTTGGATTGCACGGCAAAACCCATATCCTCCTGACGTCACAACGCTTCAAGATGGTAGCCAAAATCGAAATGCGACCACCATCCTTTATCTGCCTTGATTTTAAGGGATTCTTAAAATCTTCCTCAATCGCAATGTAAACCAAATGAGGCCTCATGCGGAGAAGCTATTAAAGAAACAACTATAAACAAGACCCAGAAAGAGGTTCACGAGTACCCTTAACATACCTTCGCGCGCATTCTGGCTTGCGTTTCATTTGTATAAGTATACTTTTTCAATGAATTCTGTTTTTGTTTCAGGGGACCGCATCTGGGCGGGAGGCGGCCGACAATGGTCACGCCATTATGGGGCTACCTCGCCATCTCAGCTCTGGGCCTCAGCCTCGTCTGCTCGGCATCAAATATGGTAAGAAAACCTTCATCAGTCAAAAGACTGGACACTAAAATTTGAGAAAAACATACCTGCATTTAAACATGAACTCTAAAGATCATTATTTGTAATTCGGGGGTTTGGACGACAGGTGGGATAAGTGCAAATTTTGATTTTTGAAGAAGTACGTGTCAGAATTTTTAAATTACATGGCGCCTTGTGGCGTAAGAAAGGTTTTAAATTACTGAAGGACGCTTATAAAGTTTTGATTTTAGAAGTAAATTTTTCACAGAATATATTTTAAGATTAGATTTAGTTGAAATCATTATAATTTCTCAATTTTTTCCAAAAACTGCTCTTATCTCACTTGTCATCCAAGACCCTCGATTATTGTTTCTGAAAACGTCAAAAATAATTTTTAGAATGGGTCAATGGCAAGAAAGACACACAACCAAGAGAATAGACTTTCCATAAGTACAGTTGCAAGAAAGGCACCAAGAGCATATCTTAAATGTCTGAAAAGCACTCCACAATGTGGAGGCTTGTGTTGTTTGTAACACGCTGTATCGAATTCCCCCTTTTTGCGCAGATAGCGTTACATGCTACTGCGCTCTGTCTTACTTATGATTTCAATTGCTTTGAAGAATTTAATTTTGCCACATGATGAAATTAGAAGGAAACAAGCGATTGAAATCATACGCGATGAACAATTTGCGAGATTGCTCATTTTTAGCTCAGATTTTCTTGGGTACATGTCTCTTTGTATGGGTAAACCTGGTCATCGGTGCGGTGACTAAAAAAACTGTCGACGGATGGAAGCAAATTCATAAAACGTGTTACATACTACGAGAAATGTGCGCTAAAGAATGAATTTTAGACTTTTCGGATGTGACCATCTTGATTTTTGTGCAATTTTACTAGACGAAAATTATTCTTTTAGCTGTGTATCTGGCATCGGATGAATGTCTGGCAAAATTACTTGATCAGGTGAGAAGTCGCAGGGACGTTCGAATGGACTCATTACAAATTCCTCTGAATGCGAGAACAAACACGACCCTTTCGAGGAAAAAGTGACATTTTCAAAATACGAAGATAATTCAATTTTTTTTTTCCTCTAAGAAACTTATTTGTTTCATAAAATTTATATACATTCGATATTGTTTTGTTGCTTTTATGCTGGGAAAATGAAAGCAGAGAAGACTATAATTATTAATAATTAAGAATAATTATCAACAACTGTGTAACGTGACGACGCGTAGAGCCCTCGGCGGTTTTTCAACCATTTTAATTAAGATGAAGAACTTTATAGTAACTCGGGTCGTTTCTACAACGGTCTCGCATCATTGCCCATTAATGCAGTGAAGTCACAAGGCAAGGCCAAGGCGCCATTTAACACGTTTGTGCTAACATAAGTCCCGACTGATTTTCATCGAAACTCGTGAGCATTCATAATGCCCAAGTTTTCTGGTTCCGCGTTATGAGCAGACCAGAGACCGCTTGGATTTATGTATCATGATTTCCTGCTTCGCGCTGGCCACAAAGTGATATTACGTGATATCACACAGTCACTTTCGACGCCGCCAACTGAAAGCTTGAAATGACATAACGTGACAATCATGTCAGGGTAGAAAGTCAAATTTTGGTGTCAAAAAGCACGTAATGGGCCTGTTGCAAACTTTTGCTAGAGCAAAAATAAGAGTTGTTTCTTATAGATAATGCCTCGAAAATCACGATGAGCGCATCAGCAAAGTCTGAAATGCACTCATAACTTCACAGTCTGCGTAAGAAATTTGCGGTTTTTTGAGCTTCCCGCTTCAAAAACGATACTACGGCACAGGTGAACATTTTGTAAGAGGAGTCGTTCCATCGTCGGCAATAATCATCATGGCTGACGCCAATCCGCCAAAACACGTTTGATGGGACGAGATAACATCTGAACTGGATTAGACCAGATAACAATCGGTGTGTTAACGTTCATATTTTCCACGCCCGAATTGATTGACCTTGAACTCTCCTTGAATTACGCGCGGAACTGCGTGCAAGCGTCGGCCATGATGAATATCGCCGACGATGGAGCGACTCCTCTAACAAAATGTTCACCTATGCCGTAGTATCGTTTTTGAAGCGGGAAGCTTAAAAAAACGCAAATTTCTTACGCAGATTGTGAAGTTATGAGTGCATTTCAGACTTTGCCGATGCGCTCATCGTGATTTTTGAGGCATTATCTACAAGAAGCAACTCTTATTTTTGCTCTAGCAAAAGTTTGCAACAGGTCCATTGCACGGCTAAATTACCACGGTCGCACTTGCAAAATATCTGTCTGATTGTGAGGGCCATCAAATTCAACCTTTAATTAAAAGTCATTTCTTACCACTGTTTTAATTAATCGAACACCCGCAGGGCCAGATTTGGGTTTTTTAGGCCTATGGGCGCAGTTCGTGGCGCAAACCTCCCTAACGTACACCATCCCGGAAAAGAGAGGTTTAGTGGTAATGAACTTCTCCAAACGAGGGGAGGTGTAGGGAGCTTCAGGTCCTTTCATTAAATTTGAAATTGTATCCACTCTCAATGAAATAAAATGGGTTGCATGTTTTTAATACAGCTAATCAAAATTGATGTTGTTCACTTGTTGGTACTCATTGATGCTGTAAAGCAAACTTATTGGAGTTTCGCTCTAGCTAATTGGTGTTTCGCCATAAAAGTGGAGTACAACTCCAATACATTTGATGGGCAGTGCCAATAAATTGGGGCACAACACAACACTGATATGGGTCAGCTGTGACGAAATCAGCCAACCCTTTTTTCAAGGCTTAAAGTTCATTTGCGGTGCTCAAAAAATTAAACGATGTATAAATATGGAAACTGTGTCAAATACGTTCTAAACCTCGACATTTTTGTAAAATTGTAATTGGAGTGTCAAGTACGCATATGATGGTAATGATGAAAGAAAACCCACAGATGGTTTTTGATCACCAACCTGTATTCTATTTTATCACATTCGAATAACTTTCCTTTCATATGCGCAAAATTACTTGCTTGACTGAACTTCGAAGTTTATAAAATATTTGACTCAATTCCCATATTTACTTGGTTTGATTTCTTATATACTTAGCGTGAGGTTTTTTTTTTAATACACATTGGGCTGGATAAAAGGAGAGAGAGTATTTCAGTGACTTGGCTATAAGTCTGCGAAATACAAGAGAAAATACTTTGGTCGGAAAAAATTGATAAGTTTTTGTTGAAGCAGAAGTATACAAAAATTTGTGCAAAAGGCCCTACAGTCAATATGGCTCTAGGAACATCAATTTTGTCATACTGGATTGGCCGGCTTCGAATCGGCAGTTTCTCCACGCACAACACCAACTTTTTTTTTAGTCAGTAGTATGATTAAAAACGTTTCTGTTAGACGGGCGTAAATTCAAAAACTCACCAGCCCTGGTTTTCGTTGATCACGCAGGACGCTCAAGAGTTTTTGAGCTTACACCCATCTAACAGAAACCGATTCAATTAGCGCGCACAGATATCAATAAAATTTCCGAAATGGAAAACACGAGGGACAGTCTCCGAATTGATGAAAGTGAAACACACCGCACCATCACGTTCTCGCACCAATGGGTCAATATTTAGCTGGTTGCCCATGATTGGGAACACGTGACGACCGACAATGGGGCGTATTTCTATCAAACGGACCTATGCGCATTGTGATGTGAGCCTTATTATGCATATATTCTTATGGGTCTCAGGGCTCATGTCTGAATGCACGTAGTTCCGTTTGACAGAAATACGTTCAATAAACAAACTCTCGATTCGGAAGGTGAGAGCCGGCGCCTCGCATCTCAAATCCACAACACAAAACAAGCAAGTCCGGGCGATCGTTCCTTGAAAAAATAAAGATGTCGTTAGATTCTAATCAACCGTGCCTCTCCGATGAAAGGAATCAATTATTCCATCATAGATGTACATAGCCATCGAGAAAATGGACAGTCGGGAGACGCATAATGGACATCGGGCTGATTATTGAAACACTTATACGGGGCGACAGACAAAGATGACAAAGGGAAAATGTAGCGATCCTATTGATTGAAATGAGTGGTTACTATAGACTAAGGGAGCAATTGATGGATTAACTACGAAGTCTCTAGTGGGTTGTCTTCAATTGGTTAGTTCCCTATCTCCCCTGTCTATATTGCAACCACTCGCTCCCACAGATAGGATCGCTCCTTTTTCTCGTTGTCTTCTTTGTGCATCCAGGCTCGGACTGGCCATAAGGCCAATCTGCCATTGGCAGATTCGTCTCCTTGGCGCGCCGGAAACGCGCCCCTCTGACATACAGCAAAATAAGAAGAGAAAAAAAATTACGACCGAGAATATATGAGGACACTTTCCTAAATGAACGGAAACAGAGAGTTAGGAGTAAAAAGAGGTGCTTTTGCGTATGATAGTGGTGACCAGAGGTCCAAAAACTACTTTCTGAAGCATAAATACTTTTCTGTGAAATTTTCACCTTTTTGTTGACACACAGGGGCGTTATCATTCCTCTTTTTCATTCGCTATGTGTTACATTAGAAGCGATAGTCGATTCGATTTTTAGACATATACGCACCCTTTATAGACCTCTTGAGAGACTTTTAAACATATTCTTCCTTTTTAAAAGGACTATTGATCTGGACATACCATAGCATGTCTCAGGCAAACTTAACCTTAATTTATCTCGAAATTAAAAAATAAGAGACATCTACAGTGTAAACGCGATGCAACTATTCGCGCAAGATAGATGTTCACATTGCATATGAAAAATGTAAGACGTGATGGCGTGAGTCCTGAACTCGCAAGGCTCTGCTTTATGCTACTAGTTTGAAGCACCATTACGAATAAGACAAACGGAAACGAACACAATATGGAAATAAGGCGAGGAAAAGGATGAGCCTTAACGACGGCGCAGAGATACGACTATTTTTACTCGATGGACGTCCGTGCTGCATTTGAAAAACTGAAGGCGTTATGATGCGAAGCGTGAGCTGTCAATGCTCTGTTAT